CCCGGTTCCCGCCCTTCCCCCCCGCGGGGGGGGAGGGGGGGGGGGGGGGGGGGGGGGGGTCCCATGTACTGGGGGGGTTACATGCTGCTGGGGGAGGGCAGAAGCCCCCAGGCCATGGCAGCAAGAGCCTTTTGCCCTGCAGCAACCTTGCCTGGCTGAGCTACGGCTGCCTGAAGCAGGATCAGACGCTGATCGCCGTCAACGCCATCGGGGCGGCCCTGCAGACTCTCTACATCCTGGTGTATCTCTACTACAGCCCCATGAAGGTGGGGGGGGCGGCCTGGCTGGGTCAATGGGGGGACTCAGGAGGGACCCTCGCCTTGACCCTCCTCTCCGCTCCAGCGCCCCAAGCTGCTGCAGACCCTGCTGCTCCTGGCTGTCCTGGTCACCGGCTACAGCTACTTCACCCTCCTGATTGCCGATCAGCAGACACGCCTGGCACAGCTGGGGCTCTTCTGCAGCATCTTCACCATCAGCATGTACCTCTCACCACTGGCTGACCTGGTGTGTGGGGCTGGGGGGAACTGTGGTGGCTCTGGGGCTGCCCAGGCTGGGACCAGCCTGACATTTACTTCTACAGGCCAAGATTGTCCGGAGCAAGTCGACGTGCTGCCTGTCCTTCCCCCTGACTGTCACCACCTTCCTGGCTTCCACCAGCTGGACACTCTACGGCCTGCAGCTCCACGACTCCTACATCACGGTGAGCTGGAGCAGTGGGCACCAAGGGAAGTTCTCCCACCCCCAACCCATCTTGTCCAATCCCATCCCAATCCCCATCCTTCCCCATCCCGTGCCATCCCAATCCCCGTGCCATCCCACCCCAATCCCCATCCTGCCCCATCCCGTGCCATCCCAATCCCTGTCCCATCCCAATCCCCATCCCATCCCATCCCAATCCCCATCCCATTCTATCCCATCCCATCCCAATCCCATTCTATTCCATCGCATCCCATCTCAATCCCCATCCCATCGCATCCCAATCCCCATCCTGTCCCATCCCAATCCTCATCCCATCTCATCCCAATCCCCATCCCATCTCATTCCAATCCCCATCCCATCCCATCCCATCCCATCCCATCCCAATCCCGTTCTATCCCATCCCGTCCAATCCCAATCCCCATCCCATCCTGTCCCCCCATGGTGTTCAGTTGAGTGGTTGGCACTGGGCCGGCCCCCATCCGGCGTCGTTTGTGTCACACAGCAGAGCCCGTGACTAGGCTCGGCGAGATGAGTATTGATTTTAATTAATTAGATGGTATAAGGCCAATAAATCTCCCCCGGCAACGCCGGGCTGGTGGAGCAGTGGAGGGGGAGTGCAGCAGCACCATGAGCCGGGTAAATCCGCTCCCCCCCACCATGTCCTCCCACAGGTCCCCAACGTGCCAGGGATCATCACCAGCGTCGTGCGGTTCTGGCTCTTCTGGCGGTACCCGCCGGGCCAGGACAAGCCCTACAGACCCCTGCACACCTGAGGGGGGCCCCACTGCCCCCCGAGGAAGAAGCCCATGTGCTTGTGGATCGATGAAGGATTCCTCCCCCCAAGTCCCTCCTTGGTCCCCCTCGGCCTATGGCCACCAGCTCCTGGCAGGACCAGGGCCCTAGGAGGGCACCTCCTGCCTCTCCCACCGTGGTTCACTGGGGCCGGGTCCCTCCAGCCCTCGGTGGTGGTTGGGTTGGTCTCTGTGATGCCTTGGGGTGGTGGGAACCCCCCCACCCCAGTCCCTGGGGACCCTGCCTGTCCCTGGGGATGGTCTTCCATGCCCATGGCTCTGCCCCAGTGCCGGGCTGGGGCTGCCAGGCAGCCCTGCGTCTCTTTTGTACAAATTTAAGTGCCTTTTAATAAATCAGAGACTCTTCCCAGTGTCTGGTTGTTGTCCCCTCCCTCCTGGTGCAGAGGCCAGGATGGCTTTTGTCCCCACAGGCGCTTTGTCCTCAGGATGGTGGGGGCTCAGCCTGGCACCCTCTGGGCTCTGGCAAACCCTCCTGTGGCAGCACCCACCTTCCAGCAGCGGGGATCAGCCCCGGCCCCAGGAAGGGAGCAGGCATGGGGCTGGGTGGGGGCAGGAGGGGACACCTGGGATGGCAGCAGTGCCAGGGGACACTGCTCTGACCCCCCGAGCAGCAGCACGGGGACGCTGGGCGTGATGGGGAAAGGGAAGTCTGTTCTGCAGCTTTGACACGGGGCTCGCTGTGGCCATGACACCGGCAAACTTATAATCGATTAAAACCCTCACTAAAACCACGCCGATTGAGTGCACACAAATCAGGCGGCCATTGGCATCGACCCAAACTCGATTAACAAATTAACGATGATCCAGAATGAAGCCATCGGGCAAGTACATCCAGAGGGAGAGGCGTGTGTTTGGGTGACCAAATTACACAGCAGCCGCTGGAGCCTTGGGAAAGGAGACATTCCCCCCGCTTCCTTGAACCCCCTCCCGGGGTGAGGAGCCCCCCGTCCCCACAGCTCTGCCGCTGCCGGCGCGTCCTCCGTCCCGGATGACGCAGGCCGGATTGAGGAAGCGGTGACGAGGGCTTTGGCAGAGCCCCATGCTACGGCTCAGACACTCGTTTACACCTTGTGACGTGGCCTGGGAAAAAAAAAAAAAAAAAAAAAAAAACCCCAGTCCTCCTTCCGCCAGGTAACCTAGGAGGCTGGATTCAAGGCTGTATCACAACCTCCCTCCCCTTCCTGAAGAACA